ATGGGAGGAACTGAAAGCCAGGCAGTAAAGGTTTAAATAGGAAAATAATGGTTTTAAGGACATTTTTAAAAGATGGAAGTATAAAGGTAACCTACTAGAACAAAAACATTAACCTTCCTAAGTACCAAAAAAAAGTAAATAAAAGAACAAAAAATACACAACTCCTAGAGAAACATAACAAATACTTTAAAATACACATAACCATAAAATATTTTGTCAAGATATCAGTCATATTGATAAATGTAAGTAGGCTTAACTCATCTATTAAAAGAAAAAGATTTTCAATTTGGCTCACCAAATTTGACCTATATATATGCTGTACATAAAAGAGATACACCTAATTAAAACAAAATGATCCATAAAAACTAAAAGAATAAACAATGATCGCAATCCTGATATCAGGCAAAGTAAAATTCAAGCCTTAAAGCACTAAATATTAATGGTAAAAGCTACAATTCACAATAAAGATGTAATGCACATAAAAATATATGCACTGAATAATACAGTAATAATCTTTATCAAGCAAACTGCAGGAGGTACAAAGATAGAGAAATAAGCTAATAATAAGAGAAAACTAGATAGAAATGAACTAAGAATAAAACTACGCTAAACACATTTATCAACAAAAGTGACAAGAATGAAAATTATATATATTCCCCATTCAGAAAAATAACAAAGTGAACCAAAAGAAAGCACAAGGAAGGAAATAATAAAAAGCAAGAATGAATGAAGTAATTATAGAGTAACACTAGATCTAATTAACAAATTAAAATTCTGGATCTTTAAAAATATACAAATTACCAGAGGGCCACAAAAAAAAAAAAAAAAGAAAACATACGAATAGTGAAATAAGAAATAATAACAGGGAAATAACCACTGAAGTAGAAGACATTTTTTTTTAACAAGAGACTTCCTTACAAGAGACTCCTTCTCTACACATAAATTTGAAAACTTAAATGAAATGTATATTTTCCTAGAAAAATACAGATTGCCACAATTGACTACATTTGATTTAGAAAGCTTAAGCCAATAGACAAAGTTAATGAGGAACTACCCCACCAATAAAACAAAACAAAACAAAAAACGTAAACATTAGGCCCAGATGGTTTCTCAGATAATTCTGTCAAACCCTTAAGGACCAGATAGTTTCAATGGTCAATAAATTATTTCAGAGCATTGAAAGTGAAGGAAAACTTCTCAACTATTTATATGAAGCATGTGTAACATTGATACCAACACCAAATAGACAATGCAAAGAAACAAAATATCACTCATGCATAGTGATGCAAGAATAGTAAATAAGTATTAACAAACCCAAACTGAAAATATTAGAATCCAAAATCACATTCAGAAGGTAATATACCATGTCCAAAGTAGGATTTACTCCTAGAATAATACAAGGTTGGTTTAATGCTAGAAAATCCACTAATATCATATACCATATTAATAGCCCAAATGAAATAAATCACAAAATTATCTTCGTAGATACTAAAAAAGTCTTTGAAAAATTCAACATTCACTCACAATAGTATAAAAATAATAAAATAAATGGATAGTGAAAGCTATTTTTTAAGTGATGTGTGTGTAAGTTTAAAAAGATAATATCTATAGTATCCTGCCCATTGTATAAGAGGAAAATATAAGAAAGTATGCCTTCTCGTCTGTGCAGAAGAAATATGGGAAGGATAAACTAGAAAATAAAGACAATGGTTACCTACAGGGGAAAAGTGCACAAAGGATAGAAGAAGGGTGGAATTTGGTAAGGGTGAGAAGGAAATAGTACTTTTCTTAGTATATTTTTATTAGCTCTGACTCTTAGAGAAACATTATTACAAATGAATAATGTAACCGCACTGAAGAGAATGGGAAAGAAAAGATATAACCTAAGTAAATTTCAGTAAACAGTATTTTGACTGGACACTATAAGGCTAAAAATAAAAATTATTGTACTGTTCTCTTATTTGTACGGGGAGGTATGGGTTTGCAACTCTGTAACTCTTGTAAATGTATGATAGGATTGAATAAACAAGTCAATACAGATCATTAGAGACAGATTTTTCATGGAGAAAGAATTTACAAATAAGGAAAGTGAGGAAGCTACAATGAACTCTATTAGAATTGCAAGTGTCGGGATGGACTCATGGGTTTAAAATATAGATAGATATAGAAATATATGTGTGAAAAAAAAAGAAATATATGTGTGTATGTACATGTAGATATATAGACAGGTCTCATTGTATGTTGAGAGGGTCTGCAAGAAGTGATACCTCAGTAGCAATGAACATACCCAGGAGCCAGATCTTGGTTTCTGAACACCACTTTCCATGAAAGGAACCAGGGCTTCTTGGAGAAACAGTTTATTCCAGTGCAAGACATGATGACACTGGAACATTTAGTGGTGCCAGAAAATAAGTAAGTTCTCAGAAAAAGAATGGAGGCATGTCAAAAGGACATAGGAAGCAATCTAAAGAAGCTCCTAGTAGCAAAACCTAGAACAATTTGAATAGCAAAATAAATAATGATAGTATTGGATTGTGATAGAATAAACTGAATGCCCAGGAGTCCACACTGAAATAAATAAAAAGTGAATAAATAAACAAGCGTGAAGGGACAGGTCTCTCTTATGAAAGAATTCTAATTAATAAATGTAAAAGGAATGAAGAAAATAGAAACCTGTGCAGCAAACACCACAGGAATAATTGTTGCAGGTAAGATCTACCGATGGATGCTAAAATCAGTGGGTATAAGTTTGGCTGGAAACAGGATATTTATTTATAAATATATTTATATATTCTCATAATCTCAAAGTATCCTCCCCAAGATATTTATCAATTATAAGGAGAAACATAGTAATTTTACAGTGGAGAAAACTGGCATTCACCAACTTAACCAAGTGATCAAGGTAAACATCACCAGTACAAAGGTTTACAGACATCATAAACCACTCTCCCCAATATGATGCACTGAGAAGGACCCAACATCACTTCTATGCTGTTCTTGCTCCCCAAAGATGTATAATTTCTGTTTAATAATGAGAAAACATCAGACAAACCCACACTGAGGGACCTTCTGCAAAAGAATGACAAGTACTCCTCAAAAATATCAATGTCATGAAAGACAAGACTAAGGATCTGTTGCAGATTGGAGGAGAGTAAAGAAATACATCCATGAAGTGCAGTGTGGAATCCTGAGTTGGATACTAGAACAGAAAAAAAGGACATAAGCCCCGAAAAACTGATCCTAGCCAATAAATATTGAATACTTGCCCCTAAAATCAGAAACAAAACAAGTATATATGCTGTTTCTGCTTTTATTTCATTGGTACTAGAGTTCCTAGAGAGTGCAATAAAGCAAGAAAAATAAATAAAAATTATTAAGATTGGAAAATGGAAAATAAAACTATATTTATGCACGAACATGATGGACCACATAGAAAATCCTAAGAAAACCATACAGAAATTAAGTGAACTTAGTAATGCCACAAGATAAAAGGACAATAAACAAAAACCTTTTGTATTTTTTGTATGCTAGCAACAAACAAGTGGAAAATTTGAAACTCCTGCTCTTTACAAGATACCATTAAGAAAAATGACAAGGCAAGCCACAGACTAAGAAAAAATATTGATAACACTTCTCTGATAAAGTGCTTGTACCAAATACATCAAGAATTCCCACAACTCAATAAAAAGGATACAAACCAGTAAAAAAAAAAAAAAAAATGGGCAAACTCAACAAGGACTTCACAGAAGAAGATTTATGAACAGACAATGAAGACATGTGATGGTAACTCCACATTTGATAATATACAGCGTTGGCAAAAATGTGGAGCCACTGGAACCCTCAAACATTGCAGTAGGAATGTAAATGACACCTACTTTGGACTTCATTTTGGCATTTCTTAGGAAGTTAAGTGTGTGTTGCCATATGACCAAGCAATTCCAGCCCCAAATGGGATGGGCAAAGCTAATATAAGGTGAAAATAAATCAGATAAATGGTTGCCTGGAGCTAAGACAAGGAATGGAAATAGAGAGGAGGGCCCCAGGGGGGCAATAGAAATGTTCTGTATCTTGAATGCAGTTATCTGGGTGTCTATATTTCAAAACTCATTGAACTGTGCACTTAAAATGAGTGCTTATTATAGGTAAATTAGACTTTAAGAAGGTTGCTTTTAATTAAGGTAAAAAATCAGAGTTAATGTTTATTGAACATTTACCTTAAGTGCTTTCCATATTCTGCATCATCTTACTGAATTCTCAAAACCACTTTATTAGGTAGGATTTTATTATCCCCATTTTTCAGCTGAGGAAACAGATAGAGATCACAATAAAGAACAAGGATTTGAACCCAGGCCATCCGACTGCAGAACCTGTGCCCTTGACCACTGTGCTACAGGGCTAGAAAATCAGGTATCTCTCCCCTGATATTAATAAAGCTCATCCTCAGGACATGCTAACCAAGCTCTCTATTTGGAGCAGCCAAAATAAGTCAGTTGTAGACTGTGGAAATGAGGGGAGGAACCAAAGGAAGAGACAGGCTGGGGTAGAACAGCATTCGTCCAAGCCTGGACTCCTGCTACCACATTGGAATCACCTGGTACCTGGTCCTTGCCTTACCCTAGACTGACCCAATCAGAATCTCAAGGGTGGGCCCGAGAATCTGCATTTTAAGCCACCACCCCCACGTCTGCCCCAGAGAGAACAATAGAGACAGGACTGTGAAGAGGGAAGTCTGTGTGTCAGACCAGCCTGGGTTTAAATCCCGACCCCTCCTGACCCTTCCTTACATCTCTGTGCCTCATCGTTCCCACGATAGGCATCATAAAAGTGCCAACTGCATAGGGTGGCTGGGAGATGTACGCGATTTGAGGGAGAATTAGGTGCAGCACCTGCACAAAGGAGGCATTCAATATATGATGGATTAAAATAACAGTTGAAAGAGGGACTGAACTCCACCCAGCACCTCTCTCTCTCTCTCTCTCCCCCCCCCCCTTCCTCTCCAGGCCCTGGCCTGGCCTTTATTGCTTACCCCAAGGCTGTCACCATGATGCCTCTCTCCCCACTGTGGGCCGCCTTGTTCTTCATGATGCTCATCTTCCTGGGCCTGGACAGCCAGGTAAGGGGGGACCCCAGCCTGGGAGGGCAGGGAGACCAAACACTGCTGTTAGAGCAGCTCATGGGCCTTAGTGGCACCTTGGTGCTGCTTGTTAGGGCCCTGCCCACCATCCCCACCTTCCTGTCCTCTCAGCACACTGTGATCTCCACAATCTCCCCCAAGACACACCTGTATGGATCCTTACACATCTTCCCAAATGCACTTTGTCTTACCTGGAATTCCCAACTCCCAATCCAAGTTTTTAAAAAATTGCTAAATACTTACGTGCTGTGAAAATACTTCTGCCCAATAGCAAGTGGAAGAAATTCTCAGAGAGAGGGCTATGATTAATGGTATCCAAGGACTCTACCACCAAGTGTCCCTGTCCTAGCCAAATCGTGAGGAACACGGAAACACAGAAAAATACCTTCTCCTTCCTTCCTCTGTCTCCATGTCATGGCCCATCCCTGACATGCTCCAGGTAGTCGCATGGGTCCTCGCACCACCATCAGTTCCCCAATGCCCATTATCCTGCCCTCTTCTGCTGATGGGGTTCTCCCTACCCGTCCTCCACTCGGCAGCCTGCCTTCCTCAGTGAAGGGTGTATAGTTAGAACTAGCAATTTATCTGTGCACATTTTCCTTTATCTCCCCATGAATGCATGCACTTAATCTTCTCACACTGTAAAACACACCCCAGCCCTCCTCTAGTTCTCTTCTTGATTTTCCAGCTGGAACCCCATAGCCTCCAGTCACTCACTCTTCACTCTCTGAAGTCTACCCTTTTGCCTGCTGTTCCAGCACAGCAGGTATCCCTAAGAGCCCCAGTGGACATGTTCCACCCAAAGCCAGTGGCTCTGCTATCAGACTCCATTGGCATGGGGCTGCCCCTACCCATTACCTTGTGCAAGTCACTCAGCACTCAAGCCTCATGGCCAGTGTGTCTGTCAACCCAGCCAAGTTCAATTTCTTCCCCTGGATGATTTCTCAGAAAGTGCTAAGCTGAGCTGCTGAGGCACCGGGTGTTTCTGCTGATAATCTTCTCTTCCATTGTTGTGAGCAGAGGCCTCAGGAGGGATTGGCAGTTTGTGTGTGACAGTGACTGTCCTGCAGAGGGATGGGGGCTGGGCCCTTGGCTCCCTAAGTGCCTGGGGGTGTTGAGCAGAGCCAGTTCTTGGGCTGAAATGCTCTTAGCAAGGAAGACCTGGGGGCCTAGTGGGCAGATGGCCACTCTGCTTACCCCCAGGTGTGTTGCACTTGCTATGCCTGGGCCACATGCTCCATTCTTTGTCACAATAACCACATGGACTGGGAGCCCCTTTTTGCAGATGAAGAAACTGAGGCTGAGTGAGTTGCTGGAACATGCACCCAGGTTTTCGTGCCTCTTAGCCCACGCGCTCCGATTTCTCTTCAGTTTGGGCCCTGGATAAACAGCGTTCCCTGAATTGCATCTTCTTCCTTCCCTGAGGACCCTGGAGAAAGGACCGCAGCCAGCTCTGCAGTAGAGGCAGGCTAACCTGGAGGCTAGGAGCCTGGGCTTTAGAGTCATATGGGGCTGGTTTTGAGCCCCAGCTGTGTCACTTTACCTCTCTGTGCTTGGTCCCTTTATCTGCACAGTGAAGCTAGAAATACCTTTCCTGAGGAGGTACAAGTGATTTGGAAAAGATTTGGGGCCAAAAAATGGCTCCAGGGAAGGAAGTGTCTCCACATGGTAACCAGCAAAGGAATCCTTTACTTCTTTTACTTCCCTCCCTGTTGGTGGTCTAGCACAGTGGCTAAATAAAGCCCAGTCTCTAGAACAAGATTGCTTGTTCCTGTTAACTGCTTAGAAAAGATCCTGGCTCTCAACAAGCACCATGTATTTGCCATTATTTATTATTTTTTTATTAATTTATCAAACCTTTTCTGAGCACATCCTCTGTGCCACTGGAAATGGATGAAAATGGCACAGTCCCTGCCCTCCAGGGTCCCACCTTGTAAGGAGATAGACAGAAGCTCCACGGGCACCAAGAGGTGAGGCAGGGGATGGCATGGTTATAGAGGAGAGGAAGGGTCTGTTCTGCCCAAGCTGGGGTCGAGGAAGAACAGTCCGGAAAAGGCTCAGGCAGGGGATCTGCCCAGTGCTGGGAGAACCCAGGGATGGGGCTGATCAGTGTGTTGGGATATTTGGGCTGGGTGTTGATGGGTGAGCAGGAATAGAACTGCTACTGTGTGTCTGGCCCAGTCTCAGCATGGTGGGATGCAGACACTTAGTGGCTCAAGCTCTGCTGCCTTAAGCCTGCATAGTCTGGCCAGGCCCAGAGAGTCCCATAGCAGAAACCTAAGAGCTAGGTGCTAGCTCACCTCCAACTGCTCTCCACCCATCAGAGGGGGTGCTTGCCCAGCAGAAGCAAAGGACTGGGGAATTGTCACAGTCCCAGAGAATGAGAAAATGAAGCCCTGCTCACAGAGACTGCCCAAAGCCTGCCACTAGCTGAGCCCTCAGCTCTCAGGACAGTTATGGAGACGCCCATCTTGCCTCAGACAGCATCTCATTGAAGTAGTTGACCTCAGAACAGGGCCCAGCCCATAAGCACATGACAGGAAGCATAGGGGAAGAGTGCTTGCTTTAAAGTCAGGAGACTCCCTTTTAAGTCATGACTCTCCCACTTCCTTGCTGAGGGCCCTTGGGCAGGTTACTTCCCCTCTCTGAGCCTCAGTGTTCTCATCTGTTAAATGGGCTTGCTGGCATCCTGGAAGTCCTCTGTCAGTGTGAACCTGGGAAGGAAATTAAGGCCCAGTGGGAGGGAAGCCCAGGGGTTGAGCCTGTTGCACTTGCCCGGAGCCAGGGCCACTAAGAACCGACTTCCTCTCGGGCTTGACACCATCCTATCAACACTGTCTAGTTCGTGTGCGTGGAAAGCCTTGTGACCGCTGTGGTGGACATGTACCCCAAGGTCTTCCGGAGGGGCTACCGCCGGGAGCTGCTCATCCTGGCTCTATCCATCGTCTCCTATTTTCTGGGCCTTGTGATGCTAACAGAGGTGAGTGATGTGGACTCAAGTAAGCGATGTGAACATGGTAACATGAAGGTTGAGTGCCTGGGCCCTGGGTTAGGCAGTTCTGATGTTAAATCCCAGCTCTGTGATTGGTTGTGTGACCCTGGCCAGGTTTAGATATTCTCCATGTTGTGCCCAAGATTGCGAATCCGAGAAACCACCAAGGAAACAACACCAATGCAGGTACACGAGGTTTATTTACAAGCTCGAGCTTGGGTCCAAGTATACACCACACAGCAGAGCAGGGGCTTGGACCCTGAAGTAGGTTACAGCTGGGTTTTTTTATGGGCTGGTCTAGGGGATTTTCAGAAGGGATGGAGGAATTTTTTTTCTTTCCAATATGAGAGAAAGGGTGGGGGAGTTTCTTAAGATCTGATATGGGATTCTCTGCTGAGGGCAAATCTGAGTTCTGTTGTCTTTCTGATATGGGATTCTCTGCTGAGGACATTCTGCTTTTTCCTGTAAAGTTCAGCTCTTATTCACAGGGGCCTAAGATGGCTATACTTGTGCTAATGCTAAACTTGAGGTGGAATGGCCTTAATTTTTCTCGGCCTCCACACTCCAGGACTCATTTTCTCCTCTTTGTGGAGATTATTGGAGGTTCTCATCGAGCCCTGAGCACAAGGTCTTAACATGTGTGAATGTTCAGCTAATGGTCACCATGATCCCTACCAGAAGAGAATAAAACTCACAAAGAGAAATACTGGGTTTATCTGGTAGTCATGAGCATCTGAACACCCAATCCACCATTACAGTACTTCTGGGTGAAAGAGACAGTGTTAGCTATAGATCCCTCCACCATGTACTGCTCTTGGGGTCAAGTTCAGAGCAGGCTTTTCTGGAATGTCACTGAGAACAGACATGCACGAGGCTGTTTGGCACCTTCAGGCATTATGTGTCTGAGCCCCAGCCCCTTGTCTCTGGTCTCTGCTGGGCCACGGGTGAGGACGGGTGCACCATGACCCCACCCCCTGCCATATTAAGACTCTAACAGCACCATGCTTCTCTCCCTGCCTGCAGCCATCCTGTCTGATACTTTTCCAAGTACCTTGGGAAGGTGAGATTAGATATCTTTTCCCCCCACACTGGTAAAATTAATTGATTTAAAAAGGAAAAAAATAGGGGAACCCTGGGTGGCTCAGCAGTTTAGCGCCAGCCTTCGGCCCAGGGCGTGATCCTGGAGACCCAGGATAGAGTCCCATGTCAGACTCCCTGCATGGAGCCTGCTTCTCCCTCTGCCTGTGTCTCTGCCCCCTCCCCCCCCCTCTCTCTCTCTGTCTCTCACTCTCTCTCTGTCTTTCATGAATAAATAAATAAAATCTAAAAAAAAAAAAAGAAAAACTGTTGCGTAGAGACAAGAAGAGCTTCTATAAGAAACATGGAAAGAAATGAGGGAATTCCAGTCTATTGAAACAACTAAGGTGATACTGAGGTTGGTCTGTGGATCCTCTTCATCCTCTGCTTCTGAGCTCAGAGGCTACCGCCTGGAAGCCTCCTCTGCTTTCCTTTCATCAGGCACTGTTCCAGGCTCAGCCTAGCCTTCCTCCCACCTTAGAATGATGGCTCCATTCACATATCTCTCCCCCATGAGGCCATGAGGTCCATGAAGACAGGAGCTGGCCTTGCCGGGCTCTGTGCCCTGGGGCCTGGCAGAGGGTGGGCACTCAGGGCGGGGCAGCTGGTGTTATTACTGCTCCTAGTCATTGTCACATTAATGGGAATGATAATCAGCTTCTAGGAAATGAATGGGGTGGCACTTCCTGTTTTCATCCCTCCTCTCCCCACACAGGGAAACCAGCCCTACAATGAGCAGGGCTTCATTAAGTGCTGATTAATTACACAAAGTAGAGCCTTTGTCACATGCAAATTGGGGGTTAATGTGATGTGTTAACGAGGCTGATGGGGGGGGGGCGGGTGGTACAAAAAGAGCAGGCACTGGCATGGGTGTCACTGGCCTGGAGCAGGCAGGCAGAGTGCCCTCCTGGACCTCGGGCCCTGGGTGCCCCAGCCACGCAGAGCCATCATGCCCCCCCTTCAACCTGAGGCCACAGGTCTGCCCCAGGGGTGCCTTGGGGCCCCTGGGTCCATCAAGGAATTAACGCTGTGCTGACCATTAATCAGCAGACACTCGGGCTTTACATGCCAACCTTCTGCCTCCATGCAGTATTATCTGTGAGTGATTGCACCAGAGAAGTTCAAATTGCCAAATGGACCATGTCGGCCTCAGCCTTCACAGTAATTGCTGGCAGGATCTTCTCCCTCATTTATACACATTTAAAGCTCGGCTTTGGGGAAAAAATAGCCCACAAATTTTTTATCTTCCACCACAGCAGTGTGGTGAATCAAGAGCATGGGCTATGCAGCCAGACCGCCTAGGTTCAATCCTCAGTCCCACCACTGGCTGGCTGGATGATCTGTGGCAAGTGCTCTCGCTGCTCAGTGCCTCGGTTTCCCTTATGAGTACTGAGGACTGCAGTTGGGCCTGCCTTGTAATTACATATGCTATAAGGATCACCTAGACTGAGGCATGGGAAGCAGTTCAATCAGAGCCTGGTGCTTAGAGAGTGCTGCATATATATGCATGATGTTCATGGAAGAAGACACTCAAGAGAGCAGTTAGGAGCATGGTCTCAGCTTTTAACTCAGAGAGCCAAGCCCACTCACTCCTGGTCACAGAGAGCCTCTTACCTGCTCCTTAATCTCACAGCCCTGAATATCCACCACATTCAGCACCGACGGGAGGCCCAGACTAGATACGGCCCAGAGATCCCTTTTGTTTTACCTCCCTGTGTTTGTTTGGGTTTTGGTTTTGGTTTTTTTTTTTTTTTTTTTTTTTTTTTAGATTTTATTTATTCATGAGAGACACACAGAGAGACACACAGGAAGAGGGAGAAGCAGTCTCCATGCAGGGAATCCGATGTGGGACTCGATCCCAGGACTGCAGGATCCTGCCCTGAGCCAAAGGCAGACGCTCAACCGCTGAGCCATCCAGGCATCCCTACCTCCCTGTGTTTTTAGGAACATTAATAGGTTGCCAACAATTGAGAAGGATATCTCTTGAAAATCTGGATTTCTGACATCTTCTAGAAAATCTGCACATCTGGCTGCACTCAGGACTGCCTCCCCTAGCAACTTTCAACCAGAGCTGTGTGGCCAGAGGCAGCCCATGCTCCCCAGTTAGCACCAGTCCTCACCACTTCCTGATGTCACACATCAGGCCCACCTCTCCCTCATGTTATCTGTCCAGGCCTCTGGGCATCAAGATGTTGCCCCAGATCCAACTGAAGAGATGAGTGGGGGAAACAAACTGTCCCAGCCTGTGTGTGGTCTCATAAGGTGGAAGGAGGCCCTAGGAGCTGTGGGACCACAGGCCAGAAGCTTAATCCTAAGTAACTCCTTGTGGCAGACACAGGAGGCTGTCCACACTTTGTCCTGGCATTCATAGTGCCTCTCCCCCACCACTGACCCTCCTTCCCTTTTCCACTTTTAATTCTTCTGCTGTTGATTGTATTCCTCTCAGAGCTGTCATGTGTTATAAAGATTGCCTATATAGATCCCAACCTTTCCCAGAACTGCAGCTGGCCACCCCGCCTTGCCATCCCTCCCTTTTAGAAACCTTCCTGGGTCAGCTGAGCTTCCCAGCTTTTAGAAAGCTTCCTGGGTCAGCTCACTGGGCCAGCTGAGCTTATACCTCCCAGGCCTGTCCCTGAAGTCTGTCATCACAGATGCATACACCACAGAGCTGGCCCACGTCATCCCTGCACCCCGCAAAGATTGTACACCTACTGTGTGCCAAGTCCTTGACCAGAAACAGAGACACAGCTGGGGACAAGCCATTCAGAGTCCCTCCCCCACAGAGCTCTTGCTCCACACAATTCAACTTGCAGCTATCGGAGACCTACTTCGAGCCAGACCCCACACTGGCAGGAGGTGTGGGGGCCTCCCCAGCTGAAGCCCAGAGCTAACAGAGTGACTAATGGGGAAAAAAAAAAAAAAAACTGTGAATCCATAAAATGTGCTACAGAGGCCTAAAGAGAAAATAAGGCTGTCAGAGAGGGCTTCTTGGAAGAGGTGACATATGAGCTGAGCTGTGAAGAAACTTACCAAGTAAAGAAGGAACAGCATTTGCAAAGGCACAGAGGCAAGACTATCCCTTAGTCTGTCATGGGAAAGCATGTGAGGAAGGGGAGACAAGGCCAAGTGAGAGGGCAGCCCTGACTGGCAGGCTGATGGGAGCCAAGGAGTAAGGTTAACCTGTGGAGCAACATGATTGGATTTGCATGGTAGGTCCTAATGTGTGAAAGGCTGGAGAGAGTGAGGCTGGAGGCAAAGAGGCCAGTGGGGAGGCTGTTAGAGCCTTCAGGGAAAGGGGCTGAGGCCACCCAACCTCTAATCTCTGGGTTTCTGTGTTGTCTCCGACATTTAGGGAGCAGAGGCAACACAAACCATCATAAGCCCAGCAACCTCTGGGTGCTTAGGTGCAGAGGGTGTATTGTTTTGGGAGACTAGGAAGCAGCAGTCTGCCCTGGTGGAAGTGACTCCTGGCTGATGGTAGCCACAGGGCACAGCAGAGGGCCTTTCCAAGACCAGCTAGCCGACTCTGCCCTCCCCTGTGTCTGTGTATCCCTCTCTCCTCCCACTCTGCAGGGCGGCATGTACATCTTCCAGCTCTTTGACTCCTATGCTGCCAGTGGGATGTGCCTTCTCTTTGTGGCCATCTTTGAGTGTGTCTGCATCGGCTGGGTGTATGGTAAGTAAAGGCTGGGCCCACCCACACCCCAGCAGCCTGCCATGGTGCCCAGCATATGGACGCCTGGGGCTCAGGTGGGCTCTGGTTCTCTGCGGCTTGTCTCCATCTGTGTCCACCTCATCCTCCTTTCCCTCAGGGGCTCAGCCTTTCACACATGTCTGGAGAGTTTCTTGTTCTTACACCCCTACGGCACAAGGAGAGGTTCCAGACTCAGGCACTGTGACCTCGGGCCCTGGCCTTCTGCCTTGGAGATTCAGTTTTCCCTTCTGTAAAATGGGGCAGTCCCCACCATGTCTCCAAGTAGGACTTAGAGTGGGCAAAGCAGCCAGCACAGTGCCCAGCCCTCATTCAATGCCCGCCTTCTGCTTCTCCTATTCCCTAAACCAAATGAGTGGATGAGGATTGCTGGACTCTTGATGATGGATATTCCCACAATAAGCATAGCTTGGGAACAGGCCCCCACTGTGGGCTGCCCCACTCATTAGCAGCCCAGTCAGGCTGTCCCCTGCAGAGCCCTGCTTCCTGCCCCCAAGGATGTTAGCCAGGCCCTGGCCCTGCCTCTCAAAAGGACCAGAATTTCTTCTACTGGAGTATATTCTGAAACCTCACATATATGACATCTTGGTAGTTGTTAAGTGAGAAATCCGTTCCCTGCTGTCATTTGTCTGGGCTGGGGAAAGCAAACACTCCTAGCCTTCCCTCTGGGTCTTGTACAAAAATCCTCTGGGGTGTGTGTGCCTGTCTGTTTTATTCTGGACAGGAAGCAATCGCTTCTACGATAACATCGAAGACATGATTGGCTACCGGCCATTGTCGCTCATTAAATGGTGCTGGAAGGTTGTGACCCCCGGAATCTGTGCGGTAAGGGCCCTGCCAGCAGCTGCCTCCAGCCCACTCACCCACTTTTCCATTCTAGTGCCACAAGCCTGGCCGAGGCTGAAACTGAGGAGGTGCTGGCCCTCTGGGTGACCCTCTGTACATTCAGAGAGTCCAAAGCACCCGACAGCTATCTAAGTTGGAGTCATGGGGACAGTTTCTGGGCTTGGCCAGGGAGGGGCCTCACTGGGATCCTGGCTCCGCCACCAGTTTGCTATGTGACTGAGCAGAAGCCTCGGATTCTGTACCTGCAAGCTAAGTGGCTGGGGCCTGTCACCATGGGGGCCAAGGATCGTATGAGAGACAACGTTTGCTTTGCTGTTAACAGAGAAAGCCACAGAACTGAGGTAAAGTTGGGGCTCATGCTTTGTCCCTCAGGCCATACCTTGGAGAGGCCTTTGTGTTTAATAAAAAAAAAAAAAAAAAAAAAAAAAAAAAAAAACCACACAACCCCACTGCTCTTCACCCAGTTCTTGGCATTGAAAGTATCTCAGAGCATCTTCACAAACCATCATGGTTCTGCAAAGGCCACTTTGAAAGCAGCCCCGAGAAGGAGCTAGAAGATTCCTGACTGGGCAGAGGCTGGGGATGAGGCTTCTGGGGTGGGAAGGGTCTCACAGCCCCAATGAGGTGCTGGGGTCTGTGGGAGTCCGTTCCCTGTGTGTCTGATGCAGGTGAGCTGGCACAGGGCTTCACCTGTCCAGGGCTATCACACAGGGTGGGCCCTCTCCCTGCTGGCCTCCTGCATGCAGGCCTGCGCCTGTCACCTAAGGCCAGCCCCCAGGGACTTCTCCCTGTCTCTTGGCAGGGCATTTTCATCTTTTTCCTGGTCAAGTACAAGCCTCTCAAGTACAACAACATCTATACCTACCCCACCTGGGGCTACAGCATCGGCTGGCTCATGGCCCTGTCCTCCATGCTCTGCATCCCACTCTGGATCTTCATCAAGATGTGGAAGACAGAGGGGACGCTGCCTGAGGTGAGACAGCCCAGGTGGGGGAGGGGGTGGCAGGTTGGCAAGGACGGCTCAGAGGGTGCTGCAGCACACACGGGCCCTGGCTCTGCCTCGTGGGCTGAAGAGCAGGAGCAAGTCCATGGGTCTTATCTAAACAATGTGTCAAGAATGAGCCCTCACACATCTCCCAGGGAAGCCATGGCCAGCTCCTCCCTGGAAGGTGTTCATTATTACCATTGTGTGAAGTCATCTCTGTGAGGCCTGGAAGTTGAACCATCTTCTCTGAGTGTCCTCATCTGTAATATGGGGACAATAGCAGATCCTGACTTACGGAGGTTTTTGTAAGGACTCGATGAGTTTCTATAGGGAAAGCACTTAGACTGGGACCTGGAACAGAGTGACCAAGTGGTAGCTTTTACTGATCTGTTAGTGCGTGAAGGACCCCCATCCCCAGGACATAGGGAGAGGGTCTGATGCTTGGGAAACACCTGTCCCATGTCGTCATCATGCTAGACTCTCTACATGAATCTCCTTTAATCCTTGGGGCAAACCAGGATGCTGGCCTCATTTTCTGCCTTCAATAGGTAGGGAAACTGAAGCCCAGAAAAATGAAATCACTCAGCCAAAACTTAGTAAGCCAAAATTTTTAAATCAACACTGGGTCTTATACTATATGTTAGCAAATTTAAGTTTTAAAAAATGTAAATATAAAATAAATAAATTCTTAAATAAATTGAGGTATAATGGACATATAACATTATATTAGTGTTAGGTAACAACATAATGGTCTAATATTTGTATGTATTGTGATCACCACAGTGAGGTCTAGTTAACATCCCTCACCACACAGTTACAAATTCTTTCTCTTGTGATGAGAACTTTGAAGATCTATTATCTTAGCAACTTTCAAATATACAATACAGTATTATTATCTATAGTCACCATGTTGTGCATTACATCTCCCATGACTTATTTATTTTATAGCTGGAAGTCTGTACGTTTTGGCCCTCTTCACTCATTTTACCACCCACTCCCCCAACCCCACCCACCCACCTTTGGCAACCACAGTCTGTTTTATGTATCTTTGAGCTTGGGTTAGGTTTGTTTGTTTGTTAGGTTTTTGTTTTGTGTTGTTTTTTCTTTAGGTTCCACATATAAGTGATATTATACAGTGTTTGTCCTTGTCTGGCTCATCTCACTTAGCATCATGTTCTCAAGTTCCATCCATATTGTCACAAACAGCAGGATTTCCTTCCTTTTTATGGCTGAGTCATATTCCACTATATATATGGACCATAAGTTGGCTATGATAGAGAAGGACCAAGCTGAGAGGGAAAGTCTCTCACAAGCCTGCTCATGCCCCCCGAGAGAGTTTCCTTGGCTCCTGTAGGGAATGTAGGTCAAGAGCAGTTGGTTAGTTCTGATCTGGAACCAAACCATGTCCTTGGTCCCTGCAAGCCCCTGCACGAACTTCCATTAGCCTTTGGTAATCAGGAATGCCCAGTGTCCCCTTGTGAATCCTCCAGAGATTAGCTCAGTCCTGGCATGGTGGGAGAGAAGGTGGGTAGGGGGAAGGAGAGGCTATGTTCCTGAGCTTCTTCCGTCTGCCTAAGCTCACACACCTGCCTCCGCAGAGAGCGAGGTTTATTAAAGACAGCAGAACTGATTTCTAGGGGCACCTGGGTGGTATAGTAGTTTGGGGCCTGCCTTCTGCCCAGGGTGTGATCCTGAAGTCCCAGGATTAAGTCCCTCATCAGACTCCCTGAAGGGAGCCTACTCTCATGAATAAATAAATAAACTCTTTAAAAAAAGAAGAACTGATTTCCAGGCCTTCCTTACTGAGGAAATGTGTGCCAGTTAGTTCACCTCCCTCTGCTTCCAGAAGTTTCTGCCAGCTGACAGGAGGGATCTGGAAGGAAAAATGGAGTCAATGGTACTTACCTGAGAGAACTGCTATGAGGATGGATAATCTGTGCTAATCTGTGGCAAGGTCAACTAAATGGAGGCTCATGTTAATCCTAGAAGGCAGGTGTCTGCTCTCTCCCTTTGACAAATGAGGAAACTGAGACACAGAGAGGCCAAGTTTTTCACCCCAGTTAAGTGACAGAGCTGGGATTCAACCCCAAATGCCTCTGATCTGGAGCTCATGCTCTCAATCCCTGTCCTGTATTAAGACCTAGTGCCTGGTACACAGAAGGTGTTCAGCATAGGGAAACTGGCCTGTTATTCCCACCCAGGCAATGTAGGCTCAGCCTCTTAGGCATGTCAGCATCTGGAAGAGGACAGAACCTTGATCGTGAAAAAAAATCAGACCTCCAAAAATCTTTGCAGCCTTCCTGAGGAAAGGGTTCATGCCTAGAAAGAATCTCCCAAATCCTGGCCTGTCTTCTCCCAAGGACCCTGCTGGGTATACATGAAATTGAGGCGTGGGGCCCCAGGCGGCACTGTGGCAGCAGAAGCATGTGTCAGGAGTCAGCCTGGTACAATGGGGATGACAGCCACACTATCCGTGCCCAGCTCAGTGCTGGACATTTTGCAAGGCAGCATAAGGCTGTGCTAATGTTTCCATCTCCAAGCACAGCCCAAGGAGCACAAGGCACACACTCTATGTGTTCCCCTGGACAGTGGCCCCATAGTATGACATCCCTTTTGTGGGAAACATACCCATTTATCCAGCAATCACATAAACAGCCCTAGAAGTACCTTAGTTCACTCCTACAACGCCCCTTTCAGGCCAGTACTGTTATCCTGTTTCACAGAAGAAAATGCAACTCCTAGAGGTTAGGTGAGTTACCTAACAGAGCTAGCGAACAGCCAGCGAGCAGTGAGCAGGACTCCAAGCCCAGCTGCTTTGTCTCTACTGGAGGGAGGGACCTGCAGCAGGCCAGGTACAGTGCTAAGCACTTCTGTAAACTATCTCCTCATTCCTCGGCAAACCCCAGGAGCGGGTACCTCTGTTGCCCCCATTTTCCGGAGGAGGAAACAGAACAGAGCTCTGAGTGACAGCGCTGAGGCCCACCCCTTGGTCTTGATGACTCCATGGGCCCTGGTGTCCACCCATGCAGTCTGGAGAGGCCGAGCCAGGCGCCAGGACCCTGGCAGTCCCACTCAGACAGCTCTTCTCTCCAACTATACAGAAATTCCGGAAGTTGACCATCCCCAGCGCTGATCTGAAAATGCGGGGCAAGCTTGGGGCAGGCCCACGGACGGTGACCGTTAATGACTGTGACGCCAAACTCAAGGGCGATGGGACCATTGCAGCCATCACAGAGAAGGAGACGCACTTCTGAGCAACACCTGCCACCTCGGATGCCTCTCCTTCCTTCCCTCCCCCCACCTCGTGCGTGTAAATGAATACCTGAAACATGTACTTCACCTAATGATAGAGGCTTGCTTGTTTTGCACCGGATTTATTAACAAGTTAATTTTAAGGTGGCTGTGTACACTCTGGTTTAAAGTCCCATTCCCCTCCTTGCCCCCAGTTACCATGTAAGTAACATTACAAAGAGATAATACTGTACAGGGACTAGCAGAATCTGTGCTAGGACGGTTTTAACCCATGTTTTCTAGGGGTTGGGGGAAGTTGTATCATATGGTCAAACTTTTATACTTGGGCTGTGGGGCAGGTGGGGTGGGAGTGATGCCTGTTCTCTGTCAGCCTTTTAGCTGACCAGTCCCTGTCCCATGTTTGTCCCTGACCATTGCAGCTGCCCCTCCTCCATGCCCCCAGGGAGGGCTTTGCCTTTGAATCCTGCCTTTGCCATCCCCAACCTCTTAGCAATGTGTTTGCAGACAGCAAGGCTGTGTCAGAGAAGACAAAGTGATCTGTCCGTCCTAATCCCACTAAGTGACCTTGGGTGCTCCCATCCTCTTTCTGGGCCTAAGTTTCCCCATCTCCCAACAGGAAGGCTGGATCAGGTGATCTCTGAGGGTCCTTCCTTGGCCTGGCCATGTCTCTTGGGGATTCTCTTGGTGTTGTTCGCTGCCCAGCAGGCCTGCCCTTGACGTTGACCGTGGGTTGTTCTTGAAGGCTCCCAAGCTATTATCCCTGCACCCACCCCTGCTTATATGAAATCAAGTTTGTCATGGAAATGATGTGTTTTCCCTTAAAACCCTGGCTTGATGCACTCTGGAGTCCGGCCAGGTCCTCAGCCTCTGTGACAGGGCTCGTCCTGTCCTGTCCATCTGCTCTCCTTATCATGTCTGCCCCTCCATCCTCATGGGGCTGGCTGGAGTCGCCTGGATGCTGCTTTTCGGGGTCAGGAAGCAGCTATCTGGCCTGCCACTGCCCTAGCCAGGATCTGTGTCTGGGACCTTCCACCAGCCTCCCAGGGGAAGGAACCCCTGGAGAGCCTGGAGCCTGGTGTTGTCCTTTGGTCCCTTCTTCATCTCCCTGCCACCTCTTCTCTCTCTTACTGTCCCCTGCCCTCCTCTCTCTCTTGCTATCTCTCATCCCTCCCCATCCTTCTTATCACCAGCAGACCCTTTTCTCCCTACCCTTTCTTTGGGAGCCATCCTACCTGCATCTCTCACCAAGCAGCTGAGAAGCCTCTGCACTTATACTGGAGGGAAAACCGGGCTCCCGCCCCTCCCTCTGTGCAGGCCTGGGGCTTTTGGGGGGGGGCGGGGACAAGGCAGGTCCTGCCTCAGACCTCTCAGCCTGATCTCCCTCTTCTTTAATCAGACTTCATCAGCTCTCTGTCTTGGATTCTGAGTTATTTGGGGACAGGGAAGGTGCATTCTTTCTCCTTTTCCTTTATGTCCCCAGTTTTATTTGGTGGAAACAAGAGCTGTCTCTAAAGTAAGGCTTTAGTTTCCTGTAGGGAACCCACATGTTTGATTCACCCAGAACTTTCCAAACTGACAGCTTCTCTGGTCTGACCAGCCCCCAGCTGAAGCCCGAGTTTGCTAGAAGGGATGCCCAGTGCCCCCCAGGCAGGCTGGGAAGCCTGGTCTGGGCCCAATTTTGCACACACTGCCCAGGCCTGCCTGGCTCTCCCTGAGCTGTCTCATCTGGTGGACCCAGGAAGCGGACCCAGGAGGCTCGGGCCTCGTGCTGCACCTTCTGCTGTGTCTGTCCTTGTCTACTCATCTTCCACCAGGTCCCGGGGAGGGAGACTCCCCACTGCTGCTGCTACTGGTTCTCCACCTACAGCTCTAAGGTCTCGCTAGGGGCGCACTGCATTGTACTTGTGGCACTTAACCTTTCACTCATCTAACATGACTCATGGGGCAGGGCGGAGGGAGGGCTTTTACTCTGGCTTTTGGTTTTTTGTTTTGTTTTGTTTTGTTTTTGTAATTTCCTACTAGTATTTGGGCAACTTTGGGGTGGGGTGGGGTGGGAGATATGAGGGCAGGGGAAATGTCATTGTGGTGACTTTTTTGATATTCATTAGAAACAATACATCCTTTGAGATATTTACAGAATTATTAAAAAATGAAAAAGGTTGTACTGTTTTACATAATGAACGTTTTTATTGGGTATTAAAAGGGCACACGATTGTCTGCTTACTCATTTTTAAAAATTAAAGGAATGAACAAACTATATGTGGCAGTTCCCAGCAGAATGGTGTTCATTGAGTTGCTCTTCCTGTGTTTTATCACCTGCATGACATACTTGCAAAACCCTCTCAGTTCCATCCTTGGAGATTGCGGTCTCAACTCAGGATTACAAATTGAAAGTGCCCAGGGGTGTTTTGGGAGCCCACACTTCCTTTCCTTCCCCACACTCACTGTACATTGAATGCTGTGTGCTAGGTGCTCTACAAAAGCTGTCTCTTTACTTCCAAAACAACCCCTTAAAGTAGTCACCTCCCTATTTTCCTTAGTACTTCCCCCACTTTACAGATAGGGGAGACTGAGGCAAAAAGAAATCCAGTCTTACTGAACTCAAAGCCCAGTCTCTTTTAATCACTATGCCTTACTGTTTCTCATGCTCTGAGGCCCAAAGAAGGCAGCAGCTGCCTCGCCATGGCTGCAGCGCCTGCCCCAAAGCTCGTGGGCCACTCTGCTAGGCAGACCTGCATGTCTGAGGCAGATGGAGTGAGGTGGAAAGACATGGAGATTTGAAGCATGGAGTCCTGGTTTGGGCTCCAGGATCTGCCCTTGCCAGCCTCAATTCTCTTATCTCTCCAAAGAAGATAGTAGCTCCTGTTTCAAAGTCAGGGTGATTGTGAGGATCCCATGAGCTCTGAGTAGGATTGGCCAATCTTTGTATTCACACTGCTTATTATTATTATTATTATCCTGAAGGAATAGTCCCTAAGCTCTAAAAGGGTAGTATTGCTCAGAACTTAGGCAAACATCTCTAAATTTGCATCTGGGATTTCCAGACAGTTGCTTGAGACCACAGAGCATGTTTTGTCCTGCCAGTCCATGGAACGATGTGATCATCTCCACATAGCATCTGCTCATTCCTAGTAGTTACTTTTCTGCTTCAAATCCCTGATCTCAAGATCCCCCCCCCCCAAGCCTCCTTGGCCTCTCACCCTCTCTGAGATGGTAACATCTGTTCACAGGGAACTGTCCCACAGTTCAGAAAATCTCTGATTCCCAAAGGGTCCCTGAGAACTTTGTAACTTCATAGAGCCACAAGGATTGGTATAGTCACGTTTCTGCCTCTCTTCCCTCCTCGTGTCTGAAAGTGTATTAAGCACCTGGTACAAAGCATCAAGACACAAAGAGTCTGGGTCACAGAAATGTGGGTCTCCCTAATTCCCAGGAAATCGGATTTGTGGGTGCTCAAGCTTACAGAATTGGTAACCTATGGCATTGTTTTTCCCAGTAGACCCTGTAGGCTGCAGTACGTGCTGGTCACCCTCCCAGCCAGATGTGACTCTGCAGCCTAGCTCTCTTAGACACATCAAATAACCAGAGCAGAGGGGAGTTGTGGAAGTGAAGTCAAAGGTTACTTCAGAACTAGGATTCTCAATTTTGTGGGTGAGGAGTAGGGAGGGAATGAGAATCAGGCACCAAAGAGCTGACCATTTCTGCTGACAGCTACAATTTTTGGAAAAGAGGGTCTGAGTATGCATCATGTTTCATGTCTAGACCTAGAACTAGGGACATTGAGACAAGTGGAACAGCCCCTTTTCTTGAACGTTCCTGCTCTTTTAGGTCAAGAGGACAGGCGTCCACACTCCTATGGACAGGAGTAAATACATGCAGAAGCTGTTCTTCCTTCTTCTTTCTAGCCTTTGTTAGCCAGTTTGAGCTCTGTGGTGTGACCCTGAGCAAGTCTCCACTTTTCTGGGCCTTAGCTTAGCCATCAGGAGAAAGGTGAAGAAAATGAGACCCAGGGAGGAAACATAGCTGACTCAAGATCCTCCTAGAAGCCCTCTGCACCTTCTCAGGCTATTAAAAATCAAATGGGTCCTTGACCTGGGCACCTTGCTTGGGAGCAAAGTCCATCTGTTGCCAACTCTTAGCCTTCTCTGCCTCTCACTTTTAAATAAGATCCACTTTGCAGGGGATACACATGTATTTTTTCTCAGAGCTCTCAGGCCGGCTGACGTGTCAGAACTACCCCCATGAGAAACTAGAGGGCAGAATATCCCAGGGACCAAGTCTCCAGGCATTGCCAAGCATAGGAAATAAACTGTTCACTGAGCACCTACTATGTTCCAGGTGTCATACCTGCATTACTTCATCAGCGCCTTATAGCAAATCTAAGAGGAAAATGTTATTAATCCCATTTTTCATATGGAGGAATTCAAGTTTAGAGATTATAAATAATTTGCCCCCCAAAATAATACCAGCTATACCTCCTGGAAAGTGGAGAAGCTGGACTGGATCAAGGTTTGCTGGGTCTAAATAGAGCCATGTACCCAACCACCTAACCAAGAATGTGGGACTTGAGCTATACTTGAGGGATGGGAAGATTTCACCAGGCAGGAAAGAGCAATTGACATGAGGGAATAGCCTAAGCAAAAGTAGAGGCAGGAAAATGTCTTTGGGTGAACATGGTGGAAACCCAAATCCTCCCCATCCCTGGTCTACTTTTACAACTTCACCAGCTCTGAGGGTGGCCCCTCCCCATTCTCTGAGAGCAAGGGGGTTAGGTAGCACTGTGCTCATCAAAGATGGCACCTGGTGCATGTTCTGGCACAGAGTGCGTGCTCCATCAGACAGGGCCTTCAATGAACAAGTGCTTGGCTTGCCCCTGAGTAGGGAGCCACTGAAGACCCACCTGGTGCTGAAAACCATGCTGGGTCCCTTCTTATGTATTATCTTGCCCTCAATCACCTTGTGGATTAGCAAGGTGTTCATATCTACCAGTAAAGAGACAGGCTCAGAGAAGTAGAGTCAGCGGCCCTAGGTCCCAGAGCTGGTTAACAGCGGAGCTGTGGTAGCAACTCCATGGGGTTCTGGCTCCAAGGCCCATGCACTTTCCACAGACCACTTTTGGGAGCCTCTGTGTGCCACCACAGCCACCAGCACTGATGAATCATTACAGGCCATGGAGAAACAGATGGTAGAGGTCAGGCAGAGAAATCAGAAAGGCTCTAGGAGCCTTGAATAATCTTTTGGACACTGGGGACCTCTGGAAACCTTGGTCTCCCAGAAATGATAGAAGCTCACTGGGGTTCACTGGGATGGACAAAGGGATGTTTGGGGGCTAGTGGAAGGGACCACTGGGGCCCTGGAGACCTACAGGAGAGATTGAGAGGTCCTGAGTGAGGAGCCAGAATTATGTGGAGTCGTCAGTGAGAGATGAAGCCCCTCAGGAGTTATGGAGAGTTGAGCATTCTGGAGGGTGGGCATGGGAGTTGTAGGGGACCACTGGGAAAAATGAAGGACTGTTGGGGAGGCACTTCAGAGTTGCTGGTGGCCATCAAGAGCTATACAAATAATTAGAGCCCTTGGTCATTTCTGGGGGGCACTGGAGCCGTGCAGAGTTCTGGGACTCCATGACCTTGCCCTCACCAGAGTGGAGCAGGCTTGGCTCTTCTGGAAATGCCCCACCTAGGTGTGCCAACCAGCCAACACTTGGCTTTCCTTATTCTCCATGGAATTTTTTCTGCCTTCTTTTCGGGTATTTTTCCAAAGCCAAACATTTCTGGAACAAGCAGGCTCTGGTAGCCTTGTCTGAGAAGGAGCTTGGGCCCAGTAGAGAGGTCTGGGCCTAATCTGTGGGAGCCCCTGGTCAGACAGTGGGGGGGACAGAGGAAATAGTAGAGCACAGGCAAGTATCATTGATCACCTAAAGTATCATCTATTTAGTACCTACCATACACCTGGGATAGGTTTGGGTATTTTCCATAAGCCTGAACACAACCACTGCAGCTCTGATTTATTCCCATTTTATAGACATGGAAACAGGCAAAGAGAGGTATGGAAAGAACTTACCCGACATCACATAAACTGAGCTGGAACTCCAAGCCAGGTCTATCAAACCCAGGGACCATGGTTTACTCCCTATGGCAGGTGGCTATTGGGGTGGCCCCAGTCTCCAGCAGAGATTAGGCCCTGGGCCTCCCTCCCCTCATCACCACCCTCCCATTGGGAGTCCTGGGCTCAGGCAGACGTTGGTGGCAGCAAATCAGCCACCAGGTGGCACTGCTGCTAAACCCAAGCCCCCTCCCCAGGGTCCAGGCCCTGACTAGTGAGGTGGGACTAGGAGCTGGGACTCCAGGCCCAGAGGCCCCACTCTAGGTGCCCAGATGAGGGACAAGGAGGCTGCCCTTGACAAAAGGGCGCAATTCACCCTCCTCACACTGCCCTACCTCCCTGCTCCTGTTTGAAGCATTACCTCAACAGCCAGACACCTGCTTTCACTTCTCAACTTCCCCACTAGTGGCCGTGTGGCCTCAGGCAAGTGACTTCACTCTCGGACTACAGTTTCCTCATCTGTGCAAACAGACACAATAGAGCCCTCCTGGCAGGGACATTGAGAGAATTATATGAGACAATAGTGCCATGTGGCTGACACACAGATTCTTGTTCTTATGTGTCATTCTTCTCAGGACGACAGTCAGAAGGGCCCCCACCAGCGTCAGGAGACCCATGTCCTAGCTCTCAACTCTCCGTCTGCCTTGGGCAAAGTCACTTTGTCTCCCTGGGCCTCGGTTTCCTCATCTGTAAATTGGGGTTAATCATAAGAATTCTCTTGTTTGGCTATTTTGAGAATTAAATGAGACAGTGGCTCTAGGACATTTGTTTTATAGAGCACCAAATGAACAGGAAAAATGATTATTGAAAATATTAATGTTTCCAGGGTGTTGTAGTTGGGTGGATATGAAAATGGTGATAAGGTATGAGGAGGGCAGGGCGGCCCCTCAGGGACTGGGTCGGGCTGTGGGTTTGCCCTGACCATGTACCA